ATTATTGATCCCTTAGCCGTGTGCGGTGCCCCCCTCCATCATAATCCACCTCGGTCATATCATCGTAGTGCTTAGTAGAATCCCTGCGACGGTAGCATCATCATCACCGTCATCACGCCGTCGTGCTAACGAAATTCTCCCTCGACACTCAGCTGGATCGAGAGTTCGTGGGACGTCACCGAGCCGAACGTGTGCAGATCGCGGAGGTGCCGTACTTTCGGTACTAGGATCGATCAATTGTGAAGACGTACGACTACATCAACCGCATTGTCATAACGCTTCCGCTTACAGTCTACGAGGGTACGTGGACAACACTCTTCCCCTCTCGTTGCTATGCATCACCATGATCTTGCGTGTGCGTAGGAAAATTTTGAAATTACTACGTTCCCCAACATCTTATGTCAAGAAAAAAATTGTCAAATGTTTTATGGCATTTGGACTTCATTTAGTACCGATTTCCTGGAAAACCAACAACAGGCAAAAAAACAGCAAGTGGCACTTGGCACTAAGTTAATAGGTTAGTCCCACAAAATGATATCTAATGACATACAATTGCATATAAAACATTCAAGATTGATACTATAATAGCATGGAACAATAAAAAATTATAAATACGTTGGAGACGTATCAGTCGACAGTATTCTCCACATATGACAAGAAAGAGTGATGGCTCCATATTTTTCGCATTTTTAGAGCTCATTTGTTGCACATTATTTCAGCATATCATGTCCCACTGAGCCAATTACATGTCCATATCCATGATTTCCAGTTTGTTACTCTTTTCACCACGAACATTTCATATTCTTCATTTTTCGTTGGTTTTTATTAGTTTTCTCTGTATTTGCGTGTCCTGTAGGTGACGTGGATTTCCCAAGCATTAAGCACGATGAAAGAATTTCAACGGAGGATATCCACGCCCCAGACTTAGCCAATTCAAAGAGTGAAAAGGTCATTTTTCCAAAGTGCTCCAAATTAAGATCTAGAATCAGAAATGGATCCGTGTCGTTCATACGAATCTAATGAGTCCAAAAACATCAAATTCCGAGTTCGTATGAAGAAATGACGGTCGTTTTACCTGAGGGGGACACAACGCAAGACGCCCAACCGAACGATCGCGTGTGGTCGTACACCTGCTCGTATGAGCTCCAAACCTCACCAAAAATTACCTTTCTAGATGGCACTCTTCGTGAATTTCGTCTCATTTGTTCCTACAACTTCCTTGTTCTTTAAGGAATGTTTTAGGAGAGGATTGGGCTCCTAGAGCCCTTGGATCAAAGGAGAGATGTTACATCAAGGGAGGAGGCTACGGGAGAGCTCGTATATATACACCACCAACCCTAGCCACCGTTGTAGGTTCATTTCAAGGGATGTTGTAGGTTCATTTCTCGTTACTATGTGGTGAGATCAAACATGCTTGCGCATTTTCCTCGACAACATTGATACATGTGGTTCATTATATCTCTGATGAAGATCTGCCTTCTACATGTACGTATCAATGGAGATTTCGCCCATCTTTGGAGATTATTTTGTGCTCTCATGTCATCACGGAGAAGGGGCAGGGTTTCCATCTCTTTATCATGTTCTAAGATTGTAGGCAGATGATTCGCTGGCAAATCATGATGTTTGGTTGATTTGGCATGTAAATATGATTTTCTCATGCTAATCAAGTGATTGAAATTGTGTTTTTTTCTATTCTTCGAGCAATACTAGACCGTGCACGTGCAATACATAAACTATATATGCATATTAGTTCGGAACTCAGGAACGCAAGTAGCTACTCCCTCTGTTCTCAAATTTTAGTGTGAGTCGAATGTATGTAGACACGTTTTAGTGTATTTGTTCATTCATTTTAGTTCGTATCTAGTTTATATTAAAATCCAAAACGTCTTTTATGTGTGAGTAGATTACACGTATATCGAGATAAGGTATGGGTAGGCAGCAAGGGGTGAACGAGACCAATGCTAGAAAAGGCATTCCTATGGTCCAGGTACGTGGCGCCGGTAGCTTTTGCATGCCTATCTTGTCCTTTTACAACTGTGATGGCAATAAAACAAATTTAACGACGCATCATGAGCGCGTATGCATGCACTAGCAATCAAAAGGAGAGCGGGAAAAAGACAAGGCCAAAGCCGGGTCTTTGCGAGGACCGGGCATCATCGAGTAAAGGAAGGAGCCAAAAGTGAGGCTTGAAGAGCACCATATTTGCTGTGCGCTGGCTGGCCAAGGATGATGGCCAATAGATTGCTGCTCGCTTTGCTTCGCTAGGGAATCTGTATCCATCGATCACCAACAAGGATAGGAGCAGCAGGAGCTGAAAACCCCTTTCCCTAGTACCGAGGCACTAGCTAGTGCTCTCCCTCTCTCTCTCATCCTATGCCATGCTCTCTCTCTGTCCTTGCAAATATACTATAAGATTCATGGAGCCTTAATGCAACTAAATAATTGACGAGCTAGTATCCATTTCCAAGTAATTAGGCACGGTACATTCATGCGAATCACAGTACAACTTGCAAACAAAGCAAGAAAGTAACCTGAACTTGCAACTCTGCAAGTTGTCCTAGTGACAACGACGTTATATACGGGCTGGTGAGCTCGATAGCTTCGTCGGCATGCATGACAGCAGCCGGCAGCATGTGTGGCGAAGCGTGTTAAGCGTATGCAAGTAGCTAAAGAAACCGATAGCTAGGCGGCCGTGCGTCGTTATAGAACCAACCTTTTGGACTAGTGATCTGCCGTCAGAGGTGTGAACGCCACAGAACGGTGAAGCGGAGGAGATTCCACGGGTTCTCTTGTGCTTTCAGTGGAAAAATCGATCGTACCATATCCATGACATGACCACGACGGCCAATATGCTCGATCCATCGCTTAAAATTTATGCTGCGTGTGTGTACACACCTTGATATGCTTTTTTCAAAACAGAGGCAAATGACTTGACTCGTACCACAAAAAAAATTACGATACATCATACTACCCAAAATAGTGGGGTAGCATTTAGTTGATCCAATGATTAGTATGGATCGATTAAAAATTTTCTTCAGGATATATTGGTAATTCCTTATTAGAGATAGATTTGTTCTTTAATGATGATAATCTAATTAACTAAACAATTTATCTAATTCACATCTAGATATTTTCTAAAGATATCACATCTAAGCTCCACAAATAAGGCGGCAACAAAAAACCAAAAAAAAGGTTGAGAAAAAAAATAGACCGCAAACGTAGTGGACATCAGGTTAGATGTGACATAACTATGTTACATCTAGATGTGTCTTAGACAGTTTATCTAATTCACATCTAGATGTTTTCCAAGGATGTCACATCTAAACTCCACAAATAAGGCAGCAACAAGAAACCAGAAAAAGTTAAAAAAAATAGACCACAAACGTAGTGGACATCAGATTAGATGTGATATAACTATGTCATATCCAGATGTGTCTTAGACAGATCCTTAATTTAGTTAATCCCATCACACCCGACACCGTGTGCGTGTGTTCGGATCAGATCAGCGGGTTCGTGTACGTTTCTCTTGCATCTCCGGACTCCGGCCGGCGGAATCGATTCGTACGTGTAGTGTTTATTACGTGCTTGTCCTTCGGAAGAATCCATCCAACGGCCAGCTCGATGGAGAGGTTAGTTTTTTACGTGCATGCGTGCTAGTTTCTCGAGGATCTTTTAGGAGACATTTTACGATGCATCGAGTCTATTTGGGATACTGGTAAAGATTGGGTGCTCCAGCTTTTGGCAAATTGTTCGGGACAGGTTAGAGACCTTGTAATTATGACTAGAGGCAACTGTTGACAGTACAGGCAGCTGCGCAATGACATTACGCATGGGAAAGGTGAGTGCACAGTACAGGCAACTGTTGACTACTTAGACAGTTACTATAAATCTCTGAATGTGGCGAAGAAGTATAGCATGGAGGATATTATTAAGGGAAAGATGCCATTTGTTGTGCACAGCCAAGTAAAAATTACCGATACCAACCATGCTCGATCTAAGCGTTGGCCTCTACCACCGGTGGGATAGGTGGCGCTCTTTATGGACGGATCTTTCTCGGCTCAGGAGGGCCGCGCGTCGGCTGGGATGGTGCTACAAAGGGAGAATGGTTCAACAATATTTGCGGCTTATAGATATATCTTCAACTGTAACGACGCCTTAGACGAAACGGAGATTCATGCTTTAATACAGGGTATGGCACTGGCCATTGAGCATTCGGATATGTCTATCATTGTCCAGTCAGATTCTACAAGTGCTTTGGCCACCATTGAAGGAGATACGTTGTGTAGGTCGGCCTACGGACACTTAGCTGCGGAGATTAAAGCTTTTATGGTTGATAGAGAGTTTCTTCCACTGAAAATTAGTAGAGATCAGAATAAGGTAGCACATCAACTGGCTCTTTATAGCCGTACCAATGCTTGTACTGCAGTATGGCTGAATTCAAGCCTACCTTTCTATGAGGACTTGTTATCTCGTGATTATAACTCGATCATTATGAAATAAAACTCTTTTTAACCACACAAAAAAAATTCTATTTGGGATCACTAGGCCGAACAAGAAAAGAAAAAAGGATGAGAAATGGTATTAATAGGATGATAGTTGGCGTCGTCGAGGTTTGCGGAGGATTCTCACATTTCATTTCTTCCAGGTTGTGCATGTTGACAAGTATTGTGAGCGGCAGAGCGTGTCCATCGCCTTCCTTTGGTGGCTTGTGCGTGTCATTTTCCTTAACCACCATCCTCTAACAGAGTTCTCCATTACCCAAGGTGCCATGTACACATTCTGAAACCAAAAACAAATAATTCGTCGCGCCCCAAATGCAAATGATGTAGCCACGATTTCATGTGTGTACGTGTCATGACTCCATCGGCAGAGCTTCATAGTCGCTCGTCTAGAACTGACCCTGAAACTGTCAGGACATGCATGTGTGGTGGAGAAAGATGACGACGGTCCGTCGTGCTCGACTTGACACCATTCGACGTACCATGCATGGCCACACCGACGGCACATCACCATCGGTCGTAGCCACGTACGTACCCGCTAGCAGTCACGCACACAGCGCCATGACTGCACACGAGACACACAGATGACAGATTGACACACCACAAGCGCGTAAACGCGAGACCCCACCCTCTCCGGCCGCATGCATGCCACCCTGTGGCGGTGGCAGTGCAGGGGTCGCACCACCTGCATGCGGCGACGCCTCCTAATGAATCAGCAGCACTGATCCTCAAAAATGGCAGTGGCGATGCTAATGCGCTAGACGCAGCGGGGACACCCTCCCGGTCGACATTCGTACTAGGTCCGTGTGTGCTTCCTGACTTGCCTCTCACATCGACTGGAGCTGGACGCAGTCGAGCTAGGGCGAAGATGCGCGAGCAACACGAGCAGGCAGGCAGGCAGGGCGTTGTGGGGTGCCCCAGGAGGCAGGTGAATAAGTGATCCAGCCGTGCCGCACGCTTTGCTCTCTATGCACGGCTCTGCTGGTAGGGCTGTCGCGTCTCGCCAATCGTGCGTGCATGCGTGTCAGCATGTGTCCCCCGACTCGACTCTTACGTGCTTGCGTACCTGGTGTCGAAATTATACGACGGACAGATTCGTGTTTTTTACCGTGGGCGTCTATGACGATATCAACTTACTGTTAGAATCTAATACAGTCTTGCTAAATCTCAGTCAACTGAGATTTCGCTAAATCTCAGTCTATGTTATATCCGTAAGTTTAAAAAAAATGTTATATCAGTAAGATCTCACATTGAGATTGGTGTAAAATTTCTTTTTATTTTTTCTTTCTCTTTCTTGCATATTATGACACTTTGATTGAGACGTTGTTAAATCTCAGTCAACTAAGACCTTGTTAAATTTTAGTCGACTGAGACCTGGCCACACCTAATCTTAATATAAGATCTCAGTCGACTAAGACTTCGCAAAACTGATCTAATAATACCTGATGACTGGTAGTACATGCACAGTACTACAGCAGCAGACAGAGAAAGGAAGCATATGCATTCGTGTGCTACGCTGTACTACGCACGTACCCACACGATGCATGCATGATGCGGCAGAGGGGTGGGTGGAGGGGGTGTGGCGCGGAGCATGCATGCGTGGAGGGGGTGTGGCGCGGAGCATGCATGCATGCGTGGAGGGGGTGTGGCGCGGGGACAAGACTTGCCTGCTCCCTGACGTGTGCACATCCGTACTTTCGTATACATGGCTTGATTCGATTGGAACAAAATATGGCTCGGCCCCACCCCTTTAAAATCAGGGAGGGAATGATTAGATTAGAAAGAAAAAAAGAAAAAAAGACAATCGTAGCATGAAGTGGAAGCACGGATGGAAGCATGAGGAAGGAGCAAGCAAGCCGGATCCGTGGCGCGGAGCATGCATGCGTGGAGGGCGCCGAGTCTTTTTTGAGTTTTCCCCTCGAGATCGACGACAAATGGAGGCCACATGACTTGCCACCAGGCATTGATCGAAACGAATAATCAAGGAGGCAATAAGGCCAACTCCACTGCGCGACCCTATTCTGTCCGACCCCGTTCGTTTGGGGTAAAGGAACAAACAGATCGGCCCAACGCGCGACGGTCCGGATCAATCTGGTTCGTTTTGTGTCCGGGCCGACCCATTTCGAGTGCAAACATGCGTCGGGTTTGGGTCGCGGCGGACATCAAGCAGACGCGCGCCTCGTCCGCGTCGGGGCCACGTGGCAGGCGGCCACCTACCTCCACCCGTCCACATCAATGCGAACGCGCGGGCGGCCCCACCTGTCATCCGCCCAGCCGAACAGCCGCGGTCCTTCTTAAATGGGGAACCCGTGGACCGGTCGTCGTCCACACTCCCACTCCACCCCGCGGCCTCCTCGAAACCCGACAGCACCAAAACCCTAGCCTCGAACTCGCCGGCCGGCCGCCTCGCAGCCATGGGCTTCTGGAACCACGGCCGCAAGGGGAAGCACGACCGCGAGGCTGGCTCCTCCTCGGGGCGCCGCCGCGGCTCCGTGAAGAAGGAGGAGCCCGCATCACCGCCGCGCACCACCCGTCGAGCCCCTGCGCCTGCCCCCTTCACCATCGCCCCTAGGGCCGCCGGCGAGCGCGACCGACAGTACCTGGCCGTGGACGTATGCCGGCCGTACTGGGAGACGAGGACGCCGGTCCCGTGGAGCGACGTGCACCTCCCCAACAATTGGCACCTCTCCGCCGACCGGGTCCCGATCTCGCCGGTGTCGATGAGCGGCCGTGCACGACGTGATGAGATTGAGCACCGCCGCCGCCTCCTCCCCAACGACCTCTACTACGACGAGAGGTACGCCCCCGACTCCGTGCTCTGGGACACGTGGCTCCAGGACGAGCACGACGTGCGACGCGCATCCTACTTCGCCGGCACGGTGTCGGGGCCGCGGCGGCCATGTCGGGAGGTGCGCCGGCGTACGCGGGTGCGCGGCCTCACGCCCACGTCGCCGCCTTCCCCGTCTCCATCACCACCTCCACCTCCTCGCATGACAGCGGAGGAGGAGGCCCGTCTCATGGCGCGTGTCATGGAGGACTCCATGCGCACGCACGATGAGCGCCAATGGGAGGGCCTCGAGGAGATGACGGCCCTCTCTGCAGCAGGCGACGTCGCCATCCCCAAGCTGGAGATGGTGGCGAAGGAGAAGGTGATGGAGGAGCCGCCGATGGCCGCGTTCCACCCGGGCCTGGTGGGCCAGCACTGGAGCTGGTCGTGCACGGCTCCGGAGATGGCGGACGCCGTGGGGGCGTGAACTGGTGCCCCACGCCGCCGGGGTCATCGGAGCGGGACGCCTCGCCACAGGAGGGGGTGGTGCAGACACCTGCCACCGTCCCGCCCGCCGCCCCCGTGCACCATGGACCCCTTAAATTATGTTTCAAGTTTTTTATCTGCGTTTATTTACTTTTAAAGTCATTTTATTTAAGTTTTTCTGTTTTTTATCACGTCCAACACGGACATGATTTGGGGTGCGGCCACGCGCTGGGCGCACCCACGACCCAATGGACAGAGGCGGACATGGGCAAACCCATTGCCGCCCCAAAGGGACAAAATCCGGCAAAACCGGACATCCGTTTGGGGTCATACGGTGGAGTTGGCCTAACCCCGTTGTGAATTGCAGCGTATAGCAGGTACCCACTGCCCCTGGCCAAGCCTTGCAGCGTCCAGTCGCCTTGAGGCTGCCCGTAAGAGCATCTCCAGCCGTTGGCCTCTAGGGGGCTTAAAAATCGACGTCTGGGGATGAGCCAGCGCGAAAATCGTCTCTGGGGTGATTGGGTTTCCAGCCGCTGCCCCATGTCGCCTCCAAGCGCCCATATCGGCCCAATGTGCCCGCTTTTCAGCCCACTTTCGGCGAAAAATCGACCTGCTATCGGCGCAAATCGACCCATATTCACCGTGGTTCGACGCAATTTTTTTATCACATAGTTCATCACAGAAAATCAAGAGAAATGAAATAGTTCAACAACAAATAGTTTAATACAAATTATATAGTTCAACAAATAAAAACTCGTCTTTCATCACATGTCGAGCTAGGCGTTGCCCTTGAGCCGCCATAGGTGCTCCACCAGATCCTGCTGCAGTTGTTGGTGCACCTATGTGTCTCGGATCTCCTGACGCATATTGAGGAAGACAATCCAGGTTGCCGGTAGCTGATGATCAACTTGCACAAGAGGACCCTGCCTGTAATATGGTTCAATGTCAAACATTGGCTCTTCCTGCTCGCTCTCAATGATCATGTTGTGCAAGATGACATAGGAAGTCATGATCTCCCACATTTGATCTTTCGACCAGGTTTGAGTGGGGTACCGGACAACAGCAAATCGAGATTGGAGCACACCAAATGCCCGCTCGACACCCTTCCTGCAAGCCTCCTGAACCTTCACAAAGTGGGAGTTCTTGCCTCCTGGCACAGAGTTTGAGATAGTCTTCACAAATGTAGACCATCTCGGATAGATGCCATCGGCTAGGTAGTATCCCTTGTTGTAGTGCCGCCCATTGACCTCGAAGTTCATAGGAGGAGAATGACCTTCAACAAGCTTGGCAAAGACAGGGGAGCACTGCAGCACGTTGATGTCATTGTGAGTTCCTGGCATACCAAAGGAGTGCCAAATCCAGAGGTCATGTGTGGCCACTGCCTCAAGTACCACACTGCAACCGCCTTTGGCGCCTTTGTACATCCCCTGCCAAGCAAATGGACAGTTCTTCCATTTCCAATGCATGCAGTTGATGCTTCCAAGCATCTCAAGAAATCCTCTTGCTACATTTTGTGCTAGGATCCGAGTAGTGTCTTCAACATTGGGTGTTCACAAGTATTGCGGTCCAAACACTGCCACCACTGCCCTGGACAACTTGTTGAAACACTCAATGGTCGTGGACTCGGCCATGCACCCATAGTCGTCGAGTGAATCATCGGGAGCTCCGTATGCAAGCATCCTCATAATTGTCGTGCACTTATGGATTGAGGTGAATCCAAGTTTGCCAGTGCAATCCTTCTTGCACTT